TTCACCCCTTCTCCTGCCTCCTTTGTCTTTCCCTCTTGTCACTTGCCTTCAAATGCAGGGTCTGGCTTTGGGTGGGAGAAATCAAAGCTGAAAGCTCTGGAGCAGAACTAAGAATAGTGTGACTTTTCAGATGCTATTAGACTGCAGCTTCCAGCATACCTCACCCTTGGTTATATGCGATCTAGGGATTGCTGGGATTTGCAGTCCAGTAACACAATGATGGGCACATGAGTCCCGCTTCTGCCTTACAGCTTCCAAAGAAGAAATAGCACTTCAGCTAAATGGTGTGTGTGTGAAGCTTTTGAGGCTGGGCTACCCCAGCTCCACTATCCTCCACCACCATCCTGGCAAAGGCAAGGATGCCCTCCCCCCCCAACCAAAAATGAATGCAATAATTTCCTTTAAAAAATAAAAAAAATAAAATTGTGGGTCCCAAAGGTTCATTCCTGTCCCCCCGTTGGCATAGCATTAAATGGAGCAGGAGTGAAGCTTGGGAGCCGACTGAGAGATTCTGAGAGCTGGGTTCTAAGATAAAATAACTTCTCCATGGTGAATTGCCCATATGCCTTCATAGCTGCCCTTTTGGCCTTCTTAGGTCTCGCTTCTTGCAACAAAAGATGATCTGGGGGCTAATTTCTTTGCTTGACATGTTGTCCACCACATTACCAAGTGTATTCACTGTATATACTCAACTAGTTGACCTCATGTATAAGTCCAGGTTAGGTTTTGGGGCCAAAATTGTGGATTTTGATATGACCCATGGATAAGTCAAGTGTAAAAACATAGGGGCCTGTAACAAAGGATCTAAAGGATGAAGCAAAGGAAAACAATGCCAAAAAACTTAACAAAATTCCAGCATGCATCACTGTTTGGGCTCACACTAAAGGTTGGATAAATGATCAGTGTTTCCAGGACAGATTACACTCTTGCCTTTGAGCAGGGGATGGTTACTTTTTTAAAATAAGAGTTAAAGCACATCACATCCATTGACCTGTGGATAAGTTGACTCAGGTTTTTGGGGTCAAATTTTGGATTAAAATTTCTAGACTTATACATGAGCATATACAGTATTTGGAATATACAAAAGCTGTGGTTGGTGTGTCATGAGTAAATTAACTCCTTGCCTTTGCACATATGCCTGCACACTCTTTTTGTTGGCCACTCACACCGCTGGTCTTCTCCAGTCCACAGCTGCTCCTCATCAGCCCTTCCTTTCTTCCCATCTAGTGTGGCCAGCAGCAGTCGCGACAACCCCATCCACATCTGGGACGCTTTCAGTGGAGAGCTGAGAGCCACCTTCCGGCCCTACAATCACCTTGTGAGTATGCGGGAGGATATGATGCGCCATGTATGGCCACTGGGTGCTTTTCCTTTTGAAACAACTTTGCTTCTCCCCCTTTCCTCTGTTATCACTGCTTCCTTCTGTAATCCCCCCTAGAGCTGTTTCCCACTGACTCTTTGTTTCTCTTTCAGGACGAACTGACCGCTGCCCACTCTCTGTGCTTCACGCCGGATGGCTCGCGACTTTTCTGCGGCTTCAACAAGACCGTCAGAGTGTTTGACACATCGCGTCCTGGCCGGATGTGTGAGAACAGGCCTACGCTGGGTGAGCTGACTTTGGTTAGAGTTTGGAAATGTTACGTTTTTTGGAGTAATGCTACTGTATTCAGCTTTGGTCACACCGTACACCAGTCCTGTGTCCACTTTTGGGCACAATATTTCAAGAAGGATATTGGGAAACTGGAATTTGTCCAGAGGAGGGCGACTAAGATGATCAAAAATCTGGAAACCATGAACCCCTATGAGAAACAGTTTAGGGAACTTGATATGTTTAACTTAGAGAAGTAACATAATATATGTGTGTGTATGCATATGCGGCAGCTTATGACAAACCCATGAATTTCATAGGGTTTTCTTAGGCAAGGAATACTCAGAGGTGATTTTGCAAGTTACGTAATAGCCATCTTTAAATAACTGAAGAGATACCTTGAAAAGGATGGATCATGCTTGTTTTGTACTGTTCCAGAGATTACAACATGAATTGGTGGATTCAAATTACAAGGAAAAAGTTTCTACCTAAATTAGAAAGAACTTTCGCACAATTAGTGGAACCTTGTGAAAGGAAAAGGATGCGTTTTGGAAGAAGCCTTCAAGTGGCTTCTAGAAGGTTCAAGAAGTTTTCATTTATTTATGGAAGGTTTATCTGATATGATTATTTCATTTCACATGTGGATAGTGTTAGTTTTGAATTAAAAGATTGCTGCAATGTGTTCAACCTCTTTTTTGTGGTGTAGGGATTTTACTTTCCATGTTATTTCTGCCTTTGGTACTAAATTTTCTGTTAAAGGGGTCAGACCTAGGAGCACATCCACTTCATTAACTGAGGTATACCTGGAAACTCAGTTAATAAAGTGGATATGTTCCTTGGCATTACTCAGGTATACTAAGGTATACCTGGAGACTGAGACCCAGTGTGGCATAGTGGTTTCAGTATTGGATTAATTCTGCAGTGTAGATAGAGCCAAGTGCCACTTGCATAGTGTGGCGTAGTGTTGGACTATGACTGTGGAGATCAGGGTTCAATTCCCACCTTGGCCATGAAACCCATTGGGTGACCTTGGCCAAGTCACATGCTCTCAGCCTCAAGAGAAGGCAATGGCGAACAAATCTTGTCAAGAAAACCCTACGAAAGGGTTGCTTTACGGTCGCCATAAGTTGGAAATGACTTGAACACACACAACAACACAAAACAGCAACAACAACACCTAGAGACTGCTTTGGAGAGTGGTAGTCTCTCCATTGGAAGTCTTTAAAGAGAGGCTTGGTGGCCGTCTCCCAGGAACGCTTTAGTTGTGTATTCCTTGCATGGCTGAAAGGTTTGGACAACATGGTCTATATGGTCCCAACTCTATGATTCTGTGACCACAACTCCCAGAATCCCTCTGCCATCATGGTTTCTGGCAAAGTATCTCTTTCTCTTTTATCTTTTTGCAGTCGGGATCCTTGGCGGAGATCGTACATCTCTGTTCTCTGCATGTGAAGTCATGCATTGGTTGTACTGTGGGACTCTTGATTTGAAAGTCAGCGTTACACATTTACAGAGGTACAGAGAACAAAATCTAAGAGGAAACATTGAAGAAGCTGGGCATGTTCAGCCAGGTGAAGAGGAGACTTAAGAGGTGGCATGATTGCCCTCTTTAAAATATCTCGAAGGACTGCTACAGAGAGGAGCAGGAATGGTTTGTTCTCTGCTGCCTCAGAAGCAAGGCTGAAAAAAATCAGGTTTTAAACAGACAAACCAAACACACTCATTTTTTTATAGTTTTTTGTGGTTTTTCGGGCTGTGTGGCCATGTTCTAGAAGAGTTTCTTTCTGACGTTTCGCCAGCATCTTTGGCTGGCATATGCCAGCCACAGATGCTGGCGAAATGTCGGAAAGAAACTCTTCTAGAACATGGCCACACAGTCCGAAAAACCCACAAAAAACTATGGATGCCAGCCATGAAAGCCTATGACTTCACACTCATTTTTTGTTGTTTAAACCAGTTTTTGTCCCCACTGATGTGCAGGACTACACCATCATGGGCCTAAATCAGAAAATTACGTAGCAAAATGCAGTTCAGATGTTATGGCCACTAGCTTAAATGAAGATTGCTCCTTTAAAAGTGCTTTTTAAAAATCAAGTTGTTTTGGTTGAACTTTATGCTAATTGAAGTGTTTGCTTCTGAATGGCATTTCTTGTACTGTAAAATAAAGTGATTAAAAAGAAGCGACTGACCCTGGCTACTGGTCATAACAATGAACAACTGCCAATAAACTGTTGTTAAAATGTTTAAATTCAAACAGCCGTTGTTGTTTCAGTTAAGAGGGTTGGAAAATAGTAATAAAAATATGTGAATAATCAATTAAAAAACCCAAGAGTATTTTTTTTAAGTCATTTGATTCAAACCAGCCAACTCTACCCAGAAGGTAGGACCAGGTCTCATGATTTTAAATTACAGATGGTTAGATTTTGAGTGCATATTAGAGAGAACTTGATGGTAAGCGCCACTTGACAGTGGAACTTATTGTGTAGAGAGGTGATGGATATCTTTCTCTGGATATCTTCAAAAAGAGGCGACCTGCTTGGGATACTGTAGCTGAGGATCCTGCATTGGGTCTGGGGCTGGATTAGATGGCCTTTGAGGTACCCTCCAACTATTTCATTCTTTGGTTCTATAACATATGTAACTAAAGGAGGATCAGCACCAGTGCCAGCTTTCTTGGTGGCTCTGATTCTGTGACCCTGAACTGAATGCAGATTTTGCTCATTGGACAAAAATGTCCCCAAGTTTCCTTAAAGGAACATCTGCATCTGCAAAACACCAGTAGAATTCTTGTCCGTTTCACTTGATTAGATTAGGCCAGGAACAAAGCATGCAACACAGCTGGAAAAAGAGGTTCTTTCAAGACCTCTGTGTTGTCCCTCCATAATAGCGCCTTCCTGAAGGTGGGAAATGTGCAAAAAGGATCATAACAAACAATTAGAATATTTTAACATAAAGATTGCATTAGATTCTATACATTCTTCTTTCTTGTTGGATTTCAGTGGCAGGCATGTCTACAGTGGTATTTGCTTCATTGCCCAGTCCTCTGGGAATATTCTGAAAGACCAAAATCACATGAACTCTCTTCATTGTCAGTGTAAACATTGCCTTCCCAGAATTTTGGAGCAGCTGCAGAAACCCCTGAATTGCAAACTACCCCCCCCCAAAAAAACCCCAACGTTTAATGATGCTGTCAGCAGATGCTAAAAATAAAACCTGTTCATGTTGAAAAAAACCTGTATTCAGATATATATATACCTTGATCATTTAAAAAAGAGAGAGATGGATTTTGTGTTATATTGGAAAAAACTATGAGGAGCTTTGACATACTTTGTCCCGAACGTTGTTGATAATAGTAATAGTAATAGTGTAAAGATAGCCCTGTTTTAGCACCTCTCTGATTGAATAGGAGAGAGCCAGCGTGGCATAGTGGTTTGGGCATTGGAGACTACGGCTCTGAGACCAGGGTTCGAATCCCAGCTCAGCCATGTAAACCTGCTTGGTGACCTTAGGCAAATCACACTCTCAGCCTCAGGGGAAGACCATGGCAAATGCCCTCTGAAGAAACTTGCCAAGAAAACCCCATGATAAGTTCACTTTAGGTTCTCCATAAGTCAGAACCGACTTGAAGACACACAACAACAACAAAATGATCTAATGGGAGAAACCTTTTGGGTCTAACTCTGTTGCCTTTTTTCTGTTTCCCAGTGAAGAAGCAAGGACAGAGTGGCATCATTTCCTGCATTGCCTTCAGCCCATCGCAGCCCCTCTATGCCTGCACATCCTACTCCAAGACGGTGGGCCTCTACTCTCTAGCAGAGGGTGACCCCCTGGCTGTGCTACATGGGCATCAAGGTGGCATCACCCATGCTCTCTTTTCCCCTGAGGGCTTCCACTTGTTCACTGGAGGCCGCAAGGTAAGGGACTCCATCAGAGAGCCAGGATAAGGAGACAAATGAGAAAGGGGGGAGGATTAGGAAGCCCTTAGCTAACATGGTGAAGGTGGCTCCTTTTCCTACCTTACCTTCACTTCTGGGGTCATCCTGGCATGTGTACCCCCCCTTTTAAGATTTCTCTTGTCTAATTTTGGAAGGTTAAGCAGGGTCAAGCCTTGTTAATATTTTGGATGTGATATTCCTCCTTCCTCCCTGGGACTATCACGGGTTTTATGTGCATGTCTTATGGCTGCATCAGGGATGCAGTGGCTCAAATGGTTAAGACACTGACTCTGTGGATTGCAAGATTGGCAGGTTGGCAGTTCAAGACCCGGGTGCCTCATGATGGGGTGAGCTCTTATCACTAGGCCCAACTTCTGCCAACCTAGCAATTCGAAAGCATGCAAATGCAAGTAGATAAATAGGTACCACTTTGGTAGGAAGGTAAACAACATTCTCTGCAATCTTGCTGGCCCCATGATCACAGAGTAGTCTCTGACAACACTGGCTATTTGGCTTAGTAACAGAGATGAGCACCATCCCCTATGGTCAGATACGACTTGACAAGCTTGTCAATGGGGAATACCTTTACCTTTTACCTACCTTACGGCTGCACTATTTAAAATTATTTTAACTGGTTTTAAAATGGTAGGATCCTAGAGCTGGAAGAGACCTCAAGGGCCATGCAGGAATATACAATCAAAGCACTCCCAAGAGATGGCTATCCAGCCTCTGTTTAAAAATCTTCGAAGGAGACTCCACCACTCTCCAAGGGAGGGTCTTCCACTGTCAAACCGCTTTTACCGTCAGGACGTTTTTCCTAATGTTTATGTGGAGTCTCATTTCTTGTAGCATAGAATCATAGAAAATCAGATTGCCTAGTTTTAATTGAAAAGCTGTGAAATGTATTTTAATCTTTCTAAATGATGGTTATTTATTTTAAAATTGATCTTATTGTAAATCACCTTGAGATCTTTCGATATAGGGCAGGATATAAATATTTTAACAATTAGGTGAGATAAATAAATTTCCAGGTAGGACCTAGGGAAAAGACCCCTCTAAAACCCTGGAGAGCCTTTGCTGCTCTTGCTGCTGCTGCCAGTCAGAGATAAAAACACTGGGTTAGTTGCACCAAGGAATATGACTCTGAAAAATGGCCATTTCCTGTGTTTCTGTGTAGAAGGTCCTGGGTTCAGAACCCAGTGGCCACAATCCCTGTCATTGCCAAGTGGGACTAGGAGAGACTCTGGTCTGAAGCCTTGGAAGTACATGGCTACCAGCCAGAGCTAACAGCACTGGACTAGATCTAGAAATGTCTGGAGACCTCCAAGCCCTATGCGGAGGGGCTTAGGGAGCTGTGTAAGTTTAGCCTGGAGAAGAGAAGGTTTAATGGGTGATATGATAGCCCTGTTTAAATATGTGAAGGGATGCCATATTGAGGATGGAGCAAGCTTGTTTTCTGTTGTTCCAGAGACTGGGACCCAGAGCGGTTGGTTCAAGGTATAGGAAGAGAGATTCCACCTAAATATTACAAAGAACTTCCTGACCGTAACAGCCGTTCAGTAATGGAATTCGCAGCCTTGGAGAGTGGTGGAATCTCCTCCTTAGGAGGTTGTTTTTAAACAGAAGCTGGATGGCCATCTGTCGAGAGTGCTTTGATTGTGTCTTCCTGCATGGCAGAACAGGGTTGGATTGGATGACCCTTGGGTTCCCTTTCAATCCTAGGGACTTTATCACATGGAGGAAATCAGGCAAAAGCGGGGGTTTTAAACAAAGATTATCATGTGCAGAACGCGATATCACACTTAAAATTTTCACACAACTTTGCTATTAAATAGGCAATAAACAGCAACAAATCATTCACGAGGAAATCCCAAAAATAATTTCGTGCATATTATGTTTTGCACCGGATAATCACTGTTTAAACCCCCGACTGACAAACACACACACCGATTTTTCCCATGTGATAAGGTCCCAGGATTCTGTGATTCTAGTGGGTTTGACTCAACCAAAGGGCAGCTTAGTATACTCTCAAGCTGCCTTCACTGAGGCAGGCTAGGAGTTTCAGACAGATGGAAGGGCTCTCATCTCCCTTAGGTTCTGGGGAACCCACTTCTGATAATACATAGTGCTGCTTCTCTTTTCTTCTCTTTCAGGATGCTGAGATCTTGTGCTGGGACCTTCGTTGGCCAGGTGAGATCCTCTTCTCCATGAGCCGGACAGTTGCCACCAATCAACGGCTGTATTTTGACTTGGACCCGTGAGTGTGCATTTGTACTCTCTCCCCTCCCTTACATGCATGCACCTTGCTACACTACAATGGAGCAGAAAATACCCAAGCCCCTGCTTTGCACCCAGAAGGTCCCAGTTTCATTTCCTGGCATCTTCAAGTACGGCTGGAAAACACGTACCTGAAACCCTGGAGAGTCATGGCTAGGCCAGATGGTCACTGCTTGACCAAGAGTCTGACAGCCATGTATAGCTGTTGAAGGTGAGGATTTGCAATTTTACAAGGTCTTTCACCCTCTCTGCTAAAGTGTGCTGGTGCCTTACCAAACTACAAAACCTATGCTTCTGTGGGTGTGCGTGGGTGTGCCATGGCAGTTAAAGTGGTGTCCAACTGCATTATTTCTTCACCTCTGCATCTACAATCTCAGATAGCCTGGACCAGAACCATATAGGGATTTAAAGATCATAACCAGCACTTTGAATTGTGCCCAGAAACAGACTGGTAGGCAGTGGAGCTAATGTAGTAGGGGAATTGTATAGGATTTGGGAAATATATTTTTAGACTAAAAAGGAAGCAGTGTCTCTTCTGCAGTTTCCCATGGTTTCTACTTGACCTACCCATGGAGGATCTGGCATGAGGTGGCAGAGCTGCTGGGTTTTCTTAGTACAGAGACTGTGGCTATGCACCATCATCTCCACAATGGGGACAGTATTGCAACTTGACTTTTCATACTTTTCTTCGCAGGAGTGGGGTTTTTTTGGTGAGTGGGAACACAGAGGGGCTTCTCACCATCTGGGACACCTCCCAGCCTCCCAGCAGTGACCCTCATCCTGTGCTGCAGCCCATTTTGCAATTCCAAGCCCTGCAAGACTGTGTCAATGGAGTCAGGTACTTATTTGAGTGATAGGACGGGTCCTGCCCTGTATGGGATTTGGGAAGGGGGGAAGTTGAGGTGCTATCCTCAGTTCCAAGATGGAAGGTGGACTCTAGAATCCTTGTGTGTGTAAAAATTAAAAAAACACTCAGGATTTCAGGATGTGGATCATAGTACAACAGATGCAGAATCGCATCCCCAACCAACACATGCTATACAAGGGACAGTCCTAAAATCTAGGACAAGACAAATAGTCCAGAGCAGTGCACTTCAGAAATAGAGATGGTGACTCTTTCTTTTATATTTGCATCTGCAGCCTACAGCATGCATGGTATAGGTCACAGGTGTGGAGTGTGTGAACCTCCAGATATGGTTGAACTGCAGCTCCCATCACCCCTAGTTAGCACAGTCAAGGTTGAGGAATGCTTAAAAAATATGACATGACAAGTGCTGGGAGTTATAATCCAGCATCACCAGGAGGGCTGAACATTCCCGATCCCTGATTAATTTTCCCAGCGTTTGGTAATGATGAATCCCAGTTTGTACCAGTCCCCTTTTCATTAGTGGCTGACAATCTACATAAAATTGCAATGTGGGAGGACAACCTAATCACAAGCAAACTAGTTCCGTAAGTGAGGTGCCACTGCTGAGAAATCACTGCTGTGTGGTGGATCATTGTTATGTGGTGTGGAACACTAATGGGCCACAAAACTCCAGGTCATCACACGTAGAGCCTCCCAGCTGATCATAACATCCCCATTAGATTAATACTTGCAAAGGTGGTTTTTTTTAGTACCTGTGTCTTGATCTGTTCAGGCTTTTGTGTACTGATACAAATGCCTTGAGTTGGACCTGGAGATTTTCTGACAGCCAGTGCAATGATTTCACAATGTGTCAGGTCTAGTAAATTAGTTCAGAAATCCAGACTTCAATAGTTAAATTCAGAAAACCTTTATTAAGAAACTGTAGATCCAGTCCAGTGACATTCATTGTCAGGACTGGCCAGCAAACATTGAAAGAGTCAGCGTGGTTTAGTAGTTTGAACATGGGACTATGACTCTGGAGACCAGGATTTGAATCCTTGTTCAGCCATGGAAACCCCCTCGGTGACCTTAGGCAAGTCATACTCTCTCAGCATCAGAGGAAGGCAAGGGCAAACCTCCTCTGACCAAATCTTGCCAAGAAAACCCTGTGATCAGCTTGCCTTGGGTTGTCAGAAGTCAGAAATAACTTGAAGGCACATAGCAGCAACAACAATTAAAACTACACACAATTTCAAAGTTCAGATGGGCTTAATTCCTATTTGTTATAATAAACACACTTTTCCTTCCTATACCACCCCCTTCTTTGATGTTACAGCGAGATTGTTTTCACACAAACACCCTTGATCAGTCTTGGCTCATACTTGCCTCCTTTTCAACAATATCTCAGCACTTGTGTTTGAGATCA